CCCTCCCAGTCACAATGCTGACTGCACCATTAAAAAGTAATACAGGGCTGCTGATGGGCAGGCAGCATGGGCTGCATTTGGGGAGAGATGGCAGAATTCAATTCATAATTAATTAATTTAATTAAAGGCCGGGTCAGCAGCTGGAGTGCATTGCTGGAGCTGGTTTGAGAGCCTTGCCAGCTCACCCAGCTGAGGATCTGGCCAGCACTCCTCTGCTTGATCCTCCCTGCATTATTTTTATGTTCACCTTCCAGCTGAAGCCCAACTGGAAGACATAAATAACAACTTGCTGGCCGGGTGAGGGAGGGATTGCAGCATGTTTCCACTAGCAAGGCCATGAGGAGGAAAGGAGAGGATTAGTTTTGTGGCTCTAGGGGTTTACAGCATCGTTTAAGGAACAAACAAAACGGGCTAATTGGAATGCATCCTCCTCAGCTCCGCAGGGGCAGGCAGCAGACCCTCAGGCATCCTCTGCTGAATGCACAACCCCGACAGAAGGGATACCAACCTGATTGGGGAGGCAAAAGCACCCTGCAGTCTCTGCCCCCTCCCGGGATAACCCATCCTAGATGCCAAGGAAGGCTGCCCACGCAGGCTGCCTGCGGCACCGAACCCTCTGCGCTGCTGCCGGCGCAGCACCCAGCACCAGCCCTTCACCCACACCTCGTCTGGGGATGTGTGTGGGAGAGCCACTTCCAGAGACAGGGAATCTTGGCAGGAAATTGAAAGTTCTTCCAGTTCTTCCAGAAAACAGGGAAACCCTCCCGAGACACAAAATCTGCGTCAGAAATGTATATTTTTTTTCCCTCTTTTCTCCCAATGCCCGGGGTGAAGCCTTGGCAGGCTGATGAGCCCCAGCTTTGGGGGCCAGTACCACCTGCCCATCCAACCCTGTGCCCTGGGGTGATGGCACCCTACCTGCCACCTCCACGATGTCCCCAGGGACGATGTCCCGTGCGCGGATCCTCTGCACCCCACTGCGGTCAGCACGGATCACCTTCCCCATCTCAGGCTCATACTCCTTCAAAGCTTCGATGGCACTCTCAGCATTTCTCTCCTGCAAACAGAGAAGGAGTAGAGCTGGTGGTGGTGGAGTTGCTGGTGCAAACAGGCTCCTTCCCCACTCACTGCAAAGACAGGAGCACCCAAACCCCAGAGTCAGCTTTGGACTCCATTGGCACCATGGATGGGACAAGGGCCACATATTCTTCAGCTGCTGCACAATGATTCCTATTAGCTTAAATCACACCAGATCCTGGACACTGCATGGACCTTTGGGGCTGATCTTCTCATTCTTGGTTTAGGAAGTGGCAGATTGCACTCAAATATATTTTTCCCCATCCAGTAACCCCCCCTCAAATTAAGCTGCTGGTAAATAAATGGCCTTAAAGAGAATATATACAAAAGAGGAGCATTGCTGGCTGAGGCATTTGCTCATCCCCCAGGAGGGACACAGTGAGGCAAGAGGCAGCAGCCACTGTGGCTTTCTGGTGGACAGGGCAAAAAACTGCCCTTGGAAAATGGCCCTGGCCAGGAGACAAGTAGTGTTTGCCTTCATAAGTGCAAGATTCTAAGATCCAAAACACAGAAGTTGCCAAAGAAAGACTGAAGGAACAAGCCAAGGGTCACACAACAACTGAGCATCTGCATGGGGCAGCATGGTCAACACAAAAATTGAACCGTTGGGAAATGAGTTTCCAATGCCATGAAGCAACCAGAGCTTTGAATGAAGTGTCCCAGCTGTGGGAGCAGAGACCTGGGGACTGGCTGGGGGGGCTGTGCCTTACCTGCCACACACCCACCACAGCATTGGCAATCAGGATCATAATAATGACAATGGGCTCCACAAACGCCGTCGTGGTCTCCTCTCCTTCCTCAAACCAGGCCAGGATCTGGTGGCAAGAGAAGAGAAGGAGCACAATGTGATTCAAACAATGAGCACCAACATTTTAAGAAGAAGGATGGAAATAAGAGCCAACTGACATGTGGTGTTTGCTGGAGAGAAGACAACCCAGAGTGTGGTCAGGCACACATGGCTTGGTCAAAGCATGGACCTGTCTTATCCCACTGCTGGTGTTTAACCGAGGCCTTCACTTCTCTGCTGGGATAACCTTATGCATTGAACAAGCAGTGCTGGTGCAAACAGCTAGGGATAACCTTATGCATTGAACAAGCAGGGCTGGAGCAAACAGCTGTGCAATGCCTGGATGAGTATTTGCACCAAGAAAGCATCTATTTTTGTTTAGTGCACCCATGGGGAGACCATGGCCATGAGTAGGGAGACTGGGCAGCACTCAGCCCCTCCTAAGCAGAAGGCAAGCGATGCAACCTGAGTAATGGAGTAGTGCACCCATGGGGAGACCATGGCCACGAGTAGGGAGACTGGGCAGCATTCAGCCCCTCCTGAGCAGAAGGCAAGCAATGCAACCTGAGTAATGGATGCAGTATGAGCAGCTCTGCAGAGTGGGGAGTGACCTCACAGCTTCTACTACCCTGAGCCACTCTTCACCCCACAAAGACCTCATACTATAATAGAAATGGAGCACACGCACAAATATTTCCATTCCATTTAACTGCTCATCCACCTGTGATGTGGCAACGCAGCAATACCTCACTGCTCTGCAGAGGCAGCAGCACAAGGACCTCTGGCACAGGGTTTCATGCCTGCTCTACCTGCATTCACCAACAAACAGGTCAGTGCATGTGGTTTGGGAACATATTGAACCCTGCAAGGGACCAGCCTCCCTCCTATCTACCCAGAAGTCATATCCAGAAGGAGAGGACAAGAATCCTGGCTTTGTCATCCCACTGCCAAACACCCTGACTACACTCACAAAGTCAGACATGCTCCAGCAGCTTGGGGGGAAACGTCTCCTCATGCAGAGTTGCTCTCAAGGCAGATTGTGGGCAAAACTGAGCTGACAGCTCAGCACTGGGGCACTGCAAATCAGGCTCAAATCATCAGCCTCAGGTAGCCCAGGGAGTAGTTTGGTTCAGGCTCAAATCATCAGCCTCAGGTAGTCCAGGGAGTAGTTTGGTATCATCAAGTCCCATCTTTAAGTGACATTGTCATTATGCCATAGAAACTACTGCACTGCTGCTGCATCTCCTTCACCCCACAGGCACCTGTCCCCAGCTCCTTTGCTGTCTGTTGCCACCCAGGGCCATACATGCTCTGGAAGGTGCCCACCCTGAGCTGGGGTACTTACAAAGGACAGAAAAGCTGCCATCAAAAGGATGCGGACGAGGAGATCTTCAAACTGCTCCAGCACCAACTCCCAGAGGGACTTTCCTGGTGGGACAACAAGAAATCAAGCACAGTCAGTGCTCAAAAGAAACATCCAGAAGACAGCCAATTTAGGCCACTGAGCCCCTAAGACCCACAAGACCCCATCTCTGCTTGTCTCAGGGCTGCTCCAGTGCTCCTTGGCTGTGGGCATTGGTGAGGACATCCAGAACTGCAATGGGGAGTTTCTCTCCAATATTAAACACCTTCATTTCTGCCATGACCCTGGTTTTACTTTGCCTATTTTTAACTACGGAAACCGAATCCCCTATGTTTCTATTCACAGCTGGTAGCCCTGTCATCACAGGGAAGATCTGCTCTCAGCCCACCTTTCTCTGGGATTAAAACTGAGATTACAAGACCCCAGAGATTCCCCCTTCCTCGTCCCCAGCACCCTCCACCCAGACTCAAGGCATGGACCCTCACCTCCAGCCCATGACTTACCTTCTTCTGCGGGGAGCTCTGTGTGTTTTCATCAACAGTCCAATGAGCACAACATAGCAAAAAAATGATAAAAATAAAAAGATTAATTAGTGATTTGGGCCTAACTAAGCAATCCCTTCCCTCATGCCCCAACACTTCATTCAGTAGCCCAAATTGCACCTTGTTCTGCACACATTCCCACATCAAAGCAGCTGATTCTCAAAGTTCTCAGTCCAACACCAAGTAAGCAGCCCTGGAAACATCATTTCCGTGCTGCAAGTGGCTCCGGCAGCATTTATTCCTGCACTCAGCCTGCCTAAAAAAATACTCCTCAGCTGTTGCCCTCTCCAAATCCAGGACACAGAAGTCCAACCATCCCGTAAAATGCCCTGCCAGAAACCCAAAACAACCCCGCTGGGGACTGTAACTTTCAGACCATGTTTCCTGTTAATCAGTTGTACTTTACAGTCTGCAATGCTCTAGGAAAGAAATCCAAAGCCCGTGCTCAGCTGCTCCAAGCCATCCTCCTGAGTCCCCTGGTGGGTGCAGAGCCTCCATCCACACTTCTCCCAGCCAAACCTGAGCCCAGTCAGCTGCACAACCTGAAAAAACCCTGAGGGCTCCTGAACACCTGCCACAGTCTCCCTGAGACTCCCACATCCCAGTGGGGTGAATGTTCTCTTTACATGTCAGATGTACTGAGGGGTCCCACGGCCACTGGGCAGTGCACAAACCCTGGTACCCCCCAAGGGAATCACTCCTGCATCCTCATGTGCACAGCAATGGATGTGCTGACCCTGCTGTCAGCCCAAGGCTGTAAGGTCCTGCACCCAGGGAGGGCTCTGGAGTGGTCCCCCTGATTTTGGCAGCTGACTGGGGCTTGTCTCCCTTCACACCCACTAGAACCCTAGAACGGCTTGGGTTGGAAGGACCCTAAAGCTCACCTCATTCCAACCCCCTGCCATGGGCAGGGACACCTTCCACTAGCCCAGGTTGATCCAATCCCTGTCCACCCTGGCCTTGAACATTTCCAGTGATGAGGTAACCACTGTGCACTGCCCTCTGGGCAACCTGTGCCAGTGCCTCAGCACCCACAACCAAGAATTGCATCCCAATAGCCCAACTAACCCTGCCCTCTGGCAGTGTGAAGACATGTCCCCTTGTCCCATCACTCCAGGCTATCATCCCAAGTCTTGCTGCAGCTCTCTTGCAGCCCCTTTAGGTACTGGAAGGGGCTCTGAGGTCTCCCTGAGCCTTCTCCTCTCCAGGTTGAACATCCCCAACTCTCTCAGCCTAGTTCTGCACCCCATGGGGGTAACAATAAGCAGGTGGCAGTTCTGGGTTAATGACTGGACTCAATGATCTTGGAGGTCTTTTCCAACCTGAACAATTCTATGATAAAAGAAGATGTTTCTCCAACTCCTTCTGTTTCTGGGAGGGAATAAGGGACCAGACGAAGTTCAAGAGGAATTGGCTTGAGGCAGAAACCTCTGATGCTCTATCACTGGACCAAACATGAGGCTGTCTCCAAGCACCCCAAGTGTGGAGCCCTGAGTGAGAGCAGGAAGCGAAACCTGCTCGGCTGTTTTCCATCATCTATTTTCATTCAGAGAGATGAAAAAAAAACCCAACCCCAACCAAACCCAAACCAAACCCACCTTCACTGAACAAACCAGTGAAAACAAGTAGCTGAACGTGTTTATGCTTCAAACTGCACCAGCTCCTCAGTGCTCACAGACACACTCATTATGAGTTGCTTTAATCCCAGCTAGATAAGGCTACACAGATCCACTGCCATCGTGAGAAACAGACCAGGATATAGTGTAGATAACTATTCTTATAGCAAAATATGTCTATATAATCTTGGAGTGACTTCAGTGTTTCAAATTGCTCCACAGACCATGTCCAAAGGAACGTGGCTCTTGTCCCTCTTGCAGACAGCTCCTCTCCACCCCCAGCTTCCTCTCCCCAGCCCAGAGAGCCACTGAAATTAAAAGTAGAAGTGATCTGCAGCTACTATTTCCACCTAAGCTCCTCTCTGAGGACACAAACGTGCGAAGTAAGAGGGCTGGGGGCAGGTGGGTGCCCTGAGGGAGGTGTCTGAGGGAGGTGTCTGAGGCTCCCACAGGTCTTGGCTCAGCCAGGGTGCCCAGGGGTGACTTTCCACCCTGAGCAGCCACCTGAAACACCACAGTCCTCTCAGTGCTTCTCCCACGCGGTGTTTGCATGGCGAGCGGCAGCGACGCCGTTTGCAGAGCCAGGACTTTGCATGAGATCTTGATTAAAGCATGAAAATAGGTTGCTGTGAACTCAGGAAACACGTGCGCCGGGGCAGCCAGCTGAAACACCACGGGTGGCACAGTGACACCACCACAGCTGCCACCGAACCTCAAACACAGCAGTGCTGCTGCAGGCACCTCCCCAAAACACCCAGCTCTGAGGACACTGAGCATCAGGCAGTTCCCTGCCACCAGCGACTCCTTCCACCACCATGGAGCAGCTCAGCGCCAATTCTGCAACAAATACCCAGGGAAAAAGGACAGAAAGTCACAATAATCTCGTGGGTTTGGGTCTAAATTGATCAGAACCCACCAGAAAACAGAAAGGTTTGGGGCTGAAGCCTCTCCCTTTCAGTTCCAAAGTCTCACTAGAAACCAGAGGGTTTGCTACTCACCAAAACCCAAGTTCTATGTGAGTCAGCCCCGTGGCACCAGGCAGGGTTGGTGCCATGTCCCACCCAGCTAGGAAACCTGCTGTAGGCAGGGAGCCAGCAAAAGCCCAAATCTGTAATTCCCTTGGGACAACACGGTGAGCACAAACAGGCTGGAATGGAAACTCCCAGCTGGCACCTGAATAGCTTCTTTCTTCAGCCGAAGGCTCAGAGCTCAGCACGGAGATCCCACTCCAGGAACAAGCTCCCCAGTACAGCCAGAATAAAAACACAACACCACCATCAAGGGTAGAAAGCGATAGTCGTTGCTCAGAGTGCCCCAAAATGGGCACCCACTCGCACCAGAAGCTTCTCCAGCTGAGCAATCCCAGCACGGGACCTGTGTATCCACAGTTCCTCTGCTCCTGCTCTTCTGCACTGCAGCTTTGGAGAGCAGAGCCAAGAAAGTGGAGATGCCCCAACAGGTAGAAGCCAAGATGTCACAGGGTTGTTCCCACTAGCAGAGAGCATAGAATCCTAGAATTTTAGAAGGTGGAATGGACCTTACAGATCATATAACCACAGCCCTCTGCCCTGGGCAGAGACACCTTCCCACTAGACCAGGATGCTCAAGGCCTCATCCAGCCTGGTCTTGAACACTGCCAGGGCTGGGGCAGCCCGTTCCTGGGCAACCTGTGCCAGTGTCTCACCACCCTCAAAGGAAAAACCTTTTTTTGATATCTAACCTAAACTTCCCCTCCCTCAGTTTGAACCCATTACCTATCACTGCAGTTTCTATCAAAGAGTCCCTCTCCAACTCCCTTGTAGGCCCTTCAGATATTGGAAAGTTGCTCTGAGGTCTCCCCACAACCTTCTCTTCTCCAGGCTGAACAGGCCCAACTTCCCCAGCCTGTCCTCATAGGGAAGATGCTCCAGTCCTCTTATCACCTTCGTGCCCTCCTCTGGAATTGCTCCAAGAGTTCCATGCCCTTCTCTGCATGATCCCTCTAGGTTATCGAGGCAGTCCCAGCTCCACCACCGCACAGGGCTCTGCCTGGCAGGGGCACAAAGAACATCTCCAGAGACTGCCAGCATTTGCCACCTGCTCTAAGCTTGTCACATCACAACTTCTTTCCTTGCTGTGCCATCGCATCATGCAGTGATGTTGGCCCGTTTGGGGCTGCAAAATACCAGTATGAGATGCTCTAAGGGTACAGAATGAGCCCAGCCACCCTGGGCAGACACAGGGCTGGCGTCGGGCTATTTTAGCAGGAGGTTAATCTCCAGCTCCTGCCAACTCAAACAGGGCTGGCAGCCCACAGGGCTGGCGCCTGCAACATGGCAGGGCACAGCAATCAGGTGATGAAAAGGTAAATAAACACGGGTGCCACCCACGAGAGAGGCTGTGCTGTCCCAGGGCTCTGCAGCAGCCTCTGAGTCCCCGGGGAGACCCAGCCTGGCCCTGCCTCCCCTGCCAAGGCAAACACAAACTGCAACAGGGTGGCACTGGGGTCGCTTTAAGGAAATGTTTGAGCTTCTCCTGCTGTAACAGGATCAAAAATCCCAGGAGCAGCACAGCCCTACAGTAGTCAGTGTTTCTCTATTGTGCACTGAGGTATTGCATCTCATTCAGTTTTTGGGGAAACTGAGGCACGAGGTGACACCCCATGGGAAGTGCCCAGCAAAGTAAACCTGGATGCAACCCACAACAGCAAACATCTTGCAGAGTGAACACTGAAATAACATTTTCCTCTAGCATTTCAGGAGCTTCCCTGGAATAAAATCAGATTTCCCTAATGGGAAACACTTCTGCCCTGAAGTGATGTGGGAAGGGTACCAGTGTGATGCCCACTGGGGGGATAATGACATGCATCACACCCAGGCTCAGCTTTCTGCTCCAAATAACTCCCTTCAAGCTATATTTCCATGGTTCAAACTAACTTTATTTTTTTCCCCCCACCTTTAACTTCTTGGTGAGACACTGGCACAGGTTGCCCAGGGAGGCTGTGGCTGCCCCAACCCTGATGGTGTTCAAAGCCAGGATGGATGAGGCCTTGAGCATCCCAGTCTAGTGAGGAGGTGACCCTGTCCATGGCAGGGGGGTGTGGCTAGATGATCTGTAGGGTCCATTCCAATCCCTAACATTCTGTAATTCTATGATTCTTTTCCCACGTGCAGGGAAGGGGAAATGGACTGGCAAAATAAGGGACACATCTAATCCCTAGACTTTGCTGACAGGCAGTAAGAACATAGTGAAAAGAGTAAGAAAAACCCTACAACATCCCCAGCTGGGAGGGCAGCCTCTCTCCTGTGATATAAAGCAGGACCCCAGGCAGGGCTGCTCTGGGATCCTTCCACCATCCTGCAAGACACCAGGCAGGATA